TATTCCTGAATAAGCAAAAAATAGAAAGAGATCGGAGATAACTGGAGAGTAATAAATAAATTAGTCATAACAAAACTCACAAAAGTGCCAACGCTAATTAGATACGCAATAATGGATATAGATAGATAGAAACAATTACCAGGTCAGAGATGCTTATAAGCGTCACCCTAAAAGGCCATATTTTATAATCCCAAATAAACAAACTTTACAGCTTACAATACAGAATTACACGATGAATATCAATAAACTGAATGTTTTCCTTGGTTTTTATTAAGTTATTTTTACTGCCCGGATATATTCGAATCTGAACATTTTAGCGACATAAGTTGCGACGCCGACCGTATATATACGGGTCTGCACATTTTGGCCGGTTTTGCACGCCCGTGTTAATACGTTTCTGCGCGTTAAGGGGTTAAACATCGCAGAAAAATTCAAGTCGTTTAGTCCAAATTCGGAGAAGTTATTAATCGTAATAGATGCCCGGGTATATATTTTATCGAGTAACTGTAAACGTGTATAAAATGATGGAGATTGTTTCCAGATTTCTGAAGGGAAAGACCATGAATTAATTTATACCCGTAATATCTTTTAGTAGTATAACAGAAAATCCCCAGTAAGTCGCGAGAAAAACAAATGAGGACGAATGGCGCACGCGCGACCTGTCTCCAAGACGTTCTGCAGGCGGAAGTTCGGGAAACTTGCGCTATAAACGATGGCTTAATAATTTCTAATAGCCCGGCCCGGGCCAAAGCAGCCGGCTCATTCTGCGCAGGGCACTTGTTCGTCATTGAAAACGTTCCCATGCAAAATGTAAGCGTTAAAAGGAGCTCGCGCCGCTGCGACGAACCTCGTTAATTCGGCGATGCTAATTATTTAATGCCCCGGTACATCGAAGCGCCTGCATACAATGCCGAATACCTGTGTTTTCCAATTAGCCGGTGTTCGCGCGTCGGAAATTCGAGAATGCCGGTCGGACGCCGTAAAGTAAATTCGTTAATGGATCGTTGGAACACGGCGAGGAAACGTCGTGATTCTGTCGATTAATTTTGTCCAGCATGTTCATACGTATGCATGTTGCGTGATCGAGTGGCTAAATCGATGATCGATTCTCCATCTTCAAGTATCAAGCGTACAAAGTCGACACGGTTTTCAATCTGTTAACCGAGGATGATGCGATCCGCGACTTTGTTTACGAGTTACTAACGAAAAACAGTGACCGATAACTACTTATGTTTATATTTGGCTCGACTGACCACGTCTCTCATACGTGCTAATCATTTCTGATTCGATTATCGGACCACGTCTCTCACACGTGGCAATTATTTCTGGTCCCATTATGAGACCACATCTCTTATACGTAGCAATCATTTCTGGCCCGATTATCGGACCACGTCTCCCATACGTGCTAATCATTTCTGGTTCGATTATCGGACCACGTCTCTCACACGTGGCAATTATTTCTGACCCCATTATGATACCACATCAGTTATACGTAGCAATCATTTCTAGCCCGATTATCGAACCACGTCTCTCATACGTGGTTGTAGGGCAAAGGCTTAAGCAATAACATTTCATTGAAGCAGTAATAGTTTTTGTTTTTGTCAATATAGGCATCCCACGAACTAGATTGAATAAAAAATGTTGAAAAACATAAAAATGGTATAATATCGAAAGAAAGCTTACTTATATTATAGTTAATGCCATAACTAGATATGTACACTAAATATTTCTGTGAAGTTTCAATTTATTTAATTGATGTTTTTTTAAATATTACGTTCACCAAGGTGCATCTCATAAAGTTCCAAGTACTATTTTAAGATGTATAACACAAGCAGTTCTATGAAAGTAGAAACATACTAATGTCACATCGCGTGAGATCACGTGAATGCGTTGGTATAATAGCGTGATGCGATACCGATCTGTTTTTAACAGAATTGTAATAAATGAAATAATCAGGCTCGCACCCTTCGAATGTCACATGAATTCACGCGAAATCGCCTGATGTGACATTAGCATGCTTCTACCTTAATTGTCAGACTTGTAAATTCAATTTTAACTAATTAAATCTGTTAATTTAATGATATCGTGTTCGAAGATGGCGGCTAACTGTAAAACCAGAAAAATGTAACAGATATCGACGCGAAAGATTGTTCTTCTTTTTTCGAGAATCATCGTACGATCGATCCGAGTCGCTGTACATCGCGGTCTAACGTCTGCACAACCTCTTTGAACGGTAATCATTTCTTTTTGAATTGCGTCGCACGGTTCAGCTGGTATACTGCCTGACAATAAGCACATACGCAAAACCCTCGGGATTCTCCACCGTCGGGATCACCGCAGGCCAGGCATGGGAGCTGCCCAGCGAGAGTATGCTATCGCGATATCCTTCGGACGTGTATCATCGTCGAAGCAGAAGAGAACTTTATCGCAAAATGGAGCTGCTGCTGGGAACGTGAGTAACCGATCAATCCGTAGCGGCGGTGGAGTGAGGATTAAAGCGATTGTGGCATTAAGGCGAAGCTTTTATCAAGGAGCAGGGTTCGAGGGAAAGTAGTGGGGGGCCAAGTAGTCGCGAGCGCAGTTCCTTCCTTCCGGAAATCTACTTCCATCCCAAAGCCCCTTGCATCTCGTTTCCTCCCGGTAACCTGGTGATATGAAAAATCGCGGTCGTTCCAGCAATTCATTGGTTCAGCAATTTTTATCGATTTCAACGCTTTGACACGCTGAGTGCCGAAAGTCAACTCCAAACACTCAAGCAAAAATTCAGCAATTCGATTAACGAAACTGAAACTAGGAAGTTAAAATTTACCACAGTGGATGGTAATCCTAAATTTTTAGCATTCTAAACGGTCTGATGAAATTCAGGTTGTTCGAATGCATTGAAATAAAAGTGAATTTTGAAAACAACTTAAAAATTAGAATCACTCGCATGCGACCGACGTTACATACATATATACAGGGTGTTACGCCTAACTGAGAACAGTGAAATATCTCGAAATAGATCAAAGCAACGAAAACAATGTTTATACAAAAAGTGTTCAGTATAAAGAGATGTTTCAGGTAGTATCAATAATTTTTTTTATTGACATAATGGTGAGTGATATTTCAAGGTCAAGTTGATTTTTTTAAATAAGACCATACATTTTTTTAGTCATATTACACTAGCTGGTTTCAATACGAATACAATGNGATATCGACGCGAAAGATTGTTCTTCTTTTTTCGAGAATCATCGTACGATCGATCCGAGTCGCTGTACATCGCGGTCTAACGTCTGCACAACCTCTTTGAACGGTAATCATTTCTTTTTGAATTGCGTCGCACGGTTCAGCTGGTATACTGCCTGACAATAAGCACATACGCAAAACCCTCGGGATTCTCCACCGTCGGGATCACCGCAGGCCAGGCATGGGAGCTGCCCAGCGAGAGTATGCTATCGCGATATCCTTCGGACGTGTATCATCGTCGAAGCAGAAGAGAACTTTATCGCAAAATGGAGCTGCTGCTGGGAACGTGAGTAACCGATCAATCCGTAGCGGCGGTGGAGTGAGGATTAAAGCGATTGTGGCATTAAGGCGAAGCTTTTATCAAGGAGCAGGGTTCGAGGGAAAGTAGTGGGGGGCCAAGTAGTCGCGAGCGCAGTTCCTTCCTTCCGGAAATCTACTTCCATCCCAAAGCCCCTTGCATCTCGTTTCCTCCCGGTAACCTGGTGATATGAAAAATCGCGGTCGTTCCAGCAATTCATTGGTTCAGCAATTTTTATCGATTTCAACGCTTTGACACGCTGAGTGCCGAAAGTCAACTCCAAACACTCAAGCAAAAATTCAGCAATTCGATTAACGAAACTGAAACTAGGAAGTTAAAATTTACCACAGTGGATGGTAATCCTAAATTTTTAGCATTCTAAACGGTCTGATGAAATTCAGGTTGTTCGAATGCATTGAAATAAAAGTGAATTTTGAAAACAACTTAAAAATTAGAATCACTCGCATGCGACCGACGTTACATACATATATACAGGGTGTTACGCCTAACTGAGAACAGTGAAATATCTCGAAATAGATCAAAGCAACGAAAACAATGTTTATACAAAAAGTGTTCAGTATAAAGAGATGTTTCAGGTAGTATCAATAATTTTTTTTATTGACATAATGGTGAGTGATATTTCAAGGTCAAGTTGATTTTTTTAAATAAGACCATACATTTTTTTAGTCATATTACACTAGCTGGTTTCAATACGAATACAATGTTGTATTATTTCTTTCAGATAATCATAAATTAGAAGCAATTAAATTAATTAAGCAATTAAATTGCTTCTTTTTCTTATGACACAGTTATTTAGAAGCTTGTAAATGGGTTCATGAGATGTAGGAGACCATTTAACTAACAAAATAAAAATCCTTTAAACATTTGCTCGTTTTTCTCCATTTCGGAGAAAATCCTGGAGTGAAAGGAACAGACGAAATTAATAAAATGAATATAAATAAAAATTAATGAATCAACTAATCCGTAAATACAAAATCACGTATCCTCTATTTTGGATAAAAAATTTCGCATACGAATTTACATTACAATCGCGTAACAGAAAATAAGAAAGATTGCAAGAAAAGATTCGATATTTTTTACGTGTTGTTTAACTCTGCGTTGTCGCACTGGTTCAAAATATCTCACATTTTTTTCGTAAAAGTGATATTGTCACGTCAATTAATTCAATACATGTATTTGGAAGTGAGATGTATTTTTCATCTCCGACTTTGTGAGCGATTTTCAGCCCTCCAACGTGTTGACAATGGCGGATGTCAAAAACATGTGTCGAATATTTACCGCGGATTTCTGTCTCACTTAAATTTTGCATAACCTCGATATGTTCCCCTGCAAGGACAGTTAGTACAAGTAAAAGAGCGCGGCACTACTAATTTTGCCGTGCCAGAGTATCGTCTCGTCGGGAAAGAAAGTCGTCGTCGAGTGATCTTCGAGAAGGTCTCGCGTCATTGTTCTCCCGGCGAAGAGCCACTTGATTTTCGGCGGTGGCCGAAGGGTGGCCGGAGGGTGGCCGGGCTTTCTGCAGCGTAGAACATCGCGCCGATTTCGAATCTTCGCCGTGTGTCGGCGGCGCCGGCTCCTCGACCGGCCACTTGTCCGATTCACGCCGCGAGTAATCGTCGAAAACGAGAATGTGAAGTCTCGGCAGGGTTAAGTGGCCGGCTCTCTCGAAGCCGATCCCGGCCCACCTCTCGAGTGCGCAGAAACGTTGACCTCTCCGAAACGAAAGGCGATCGCGAAACTCGTCTTTCGCCGTTCGAACCATTCTACTCTCTCTTCGCCGGCTTGGAAAAGCTGACAGGCTAAACAAAGCCCGGCCGAGCTTTCACCAAACGTTCCTCGGCGAGGCGGGCCGCGTCCATGAAAAGGGCTGCAGCTTTTCACGGATCGGCGCGAATGTGTGGCCGAATCGAGTTATCGATAAAGCAGCTCCTTTCGACTCCGCTGAATCTCGACGACTTGGAACGATGCGTAAATTATTGACTGCCTTTTACCATGAAAAAAGCATGGTAATTATCGGGAACGGAGCAGGACAATTCTCATTGATTTTAGTGACCTTGAGACATGTTGTTCGTGCTTCCTTAGTTTACAACTTTTCTTCGTGCATCCTTACCAGAGTCAATTTTGACACCAAGCCACCGTTGTTGATAGAGAGTCAATTTGACGATAATTTAACACTTTGATGGCCGCGGCAAACACCTCGAATGTTTTATAAAATTAAAGTATTTTATTCGGTGAAATAAGAATTGCACAGCAAGTTTCTGTGGCATACGTTACTTTTCCAACATTCTTACGCTTTGCGAACCTTGATAAAATTAAGAAATTATAATTGACTGGCGAAGAAATTAATAGTGTATTAATAGTGTAATTATGATATTCACTGGTTTAATAGTGCAATTATGATATACCTTGTTAAAAATATAAACAGGACAAACTTGGTTAATAATATAATTATGATGCATTCTTCAAAAAGTTACACTAAATAGGTTTTTATAATTCAAATTTTTGCGAAGTCGCGTGTACGTGACTCCGGCCGTCAAAGTGTTAAGAAGGTTTTTGACACTGTGTAAAAAAAAGTACCCGCCATTTCTCATTGCAAATTCCCATGTTGCATGTGTTGAAACAATTTTTTGTATTTAAGTAGGCATAACTGTGCTGATTAACGCTGAAAATATTATAAAAAAAAATATATGAAAATGTTATAATATGTAGTAAATTATTTATAAAAGGAAAATTAGAAGATTAGAAATTAAATTATTTTTTTCTGGCGAGACCCTGCGTCCACTAACGGAAGATTAAAAGGTTGTCCTATAATAAGTTTGTGTCGCGTTCAAACATTCGAGATCGATACAGAGAAGATATTCGCGAAAGAAAGTTAGTGAACGACGAGCATTTCATCTTTTACACAGTGAAAAGCCACGAGTGAGATATGTATTTATTTTCAACGTCTTGTGTTGTACGAGTTTCGCAAAGGAAATACAGCAACCGTTGCCGCAAACAATATTTCTGCCATTTACAGAGAAGGCGTTTTATCGCTGCGTACGTGCAAAACATGATTCAATCGACTTCGTAAAGGAAATTTTGATCTTGAAGAATAACCATGTTTTGGACGTTCATCCGAACTAGACGAGGACACGATTCGTAATCTAGTGAATGGAACGCAAAATTTATTGGTTCACTTAGAACATTCCAAAATCATCTGTTCACAGATATTTGACAAATACGGGTACAGTGAACGACAGAAACTCATGTAACAACATGATCTAAGAGATTACTAAAAACATTTTATATAAAAATTGCATAATATCAGAGGGTCGCATGATACAATAGTTCTATCGCTGTTTGCTACTCTTCTTTTTCATCGAGGTATGAAGATTACCTTGAGATTTTAAACCTTTTATAGTATTTTGCGTCTTGTATACGACCCAAACCGTTTATTGGACTTATACTTATTGGAGTGAACTTAATAAATTTATATATACTATATTATATATTATATTATATTATATATATATTAAGTAATACTTTCTTTCGTATTTTCATATTAATTATTGTATCCTTTCATATAATATGCTAATTACAGTATACTACAGTGGTTTCGAAAGATATGCACGTATTTTTTTAGCCTGGACTATGTGCAAAATATGTTATGCATCCAATTTAAACAACTGAATGTTATATCTTGTTACTGTGAATTTAGCGTGAATTTCAATTAATTCTCTGCATTATTTACGTCGATACATTAACATTGAAATGAAAACAATACGATAATAAATTTAACATTACATCTTGTGTAATGTTGTGTGTATAATAAAACTGAGAAAAATTCAGCACCTAAATTTAGTAGCCACCATCATTTACCATCAAAAAGTGGAAATGGCTTGTGAGGGTTGATAATTTATTTCGGCAGC